AACATTGGTGCAAACGCCAATGTTTTTGTTGGTAGTTCGAGTTCTAGCAACCCAAGACCCGGAGGTAAGGGCGAAGAACCAAAGGACCGAGAAATCGTATCCGCGTTCTTCGGTAAACCTACTAGTAGTGGATTGCTCCAACAAACGGGAGCGCGTCAGGAAAGGAGAACAACAGCTGTGCCCTTTGTGAGGTTTACTTCACATGATGTGGCTCTCGCCCATGCCGGTTTCTCACACCTTTTAAGAAAAACAGGAAATTTGCAGCAGTCCCGGGTTAGTAAAAGATTTCCACCGCTTTTATCTACTCGGATCAAGCAAGGGTGTGCAACAGTACCTGGGTCCCATTTTGGGCGCCTCTGTTGGCGCGAAACGCGGAATGACACCCCAGCCTGCCCTACTTTGGGAGCCTGCCCATTGTTTGCGCGGTTTTTCGGGCTCCAATTCAATTGCACCCGGTGGTCCTTTTTGCCAGCCTTTTGCACCAGTTTCGCCTTGAGAAAATCTACCTTGATTGGAGGAATCCTGAAAGGCGTGTGTCCGGAATTTGGCGGATTAGAGATGTTTACCATTCAAGTGAAGGATCGCCTGTAAAATGGGGCACCCCCTACTAGTCAACGCTATCATGGGTGCTGCTTGCTCATTCAAGGCTCTAGGAAAGAGACAGGGATGCCGTGAGCGTTGTGTTGCTGCATGGGCCTGTTTTTGCCAGGTCGCAAGCAAAACTGAAAAGAAGCTTGAGAAGCTAAACAGGAACAAACATATTCTGGAACACTGTCTGGAACCACAATGCCCTCACAAGCGAAACCAAGAGGTGTGTCTAGTTTGCATATAGAGCATGTGCCCAACATATGTCTGACATGTTTCTAGTACGTCAAGCCTGTTTCGCATAGTTCCAGCATGAGTCTAAGCTATTTCTCGCGGTCTTCAATATGTGTCTGACACAATCCTAAGATGTTTCTACAATATGGTTGGCATGCTTTCTAGCACATGCCTGATGTGCCCAGCATTTATTTCAACTGTTTCAAGTAAGTGCGGTATTTATCCAGCACGCTTTCCGCATCCTCCTGGCATATTCTTAGCATCATCCTATGCGAGCTGCGTGTCTGACACATTTCCACACACACGTCCCGATCCGGAACAAACTCTGCTTGAATATGGCACATGCCAGAGCTGGGCATGCCCCCCTGTCCGAATAGGTTTACCTAGGAACACGTAGAAAAGTAGCTAGTCACAATGTACAGGCCTGGTGGGGAAGGCGTGCCTTTCGCTTGGTCTTGTGGACTGGGTGTTCGTTTGGTCATAAACCAAGTTGTATTTTTCGCGACTTGAGCTTTATCTTGGCATGACAAAAATCCGGGGTAGTGGGCATGTGTCAAAATAGGGGAACCCCCCCCCCAAAAAAAAAAATGGCATGTTCACCATCAGCTTCCCTTTAATCCAACCCCAACAACACATCCCCCCAAATGAAAACAAGCAAACAGTATATACATTTAAAACACAACAAACATGCGCAAAAGAAATTGGCGTGGGCCTACGGAGACGGACCAAGGCTCCAGGCCGTAGCGGTACTGGCGCAAAGGATGCCCACCATCAGTGAAGCGGCCACCTGCGCTGCTCAACCAACCTTTCTGGAGTCCCATTCGGGGGATGTGTCCCGTCCGGGTTTCAAACGTCCCCCTTTTCGTGCGTTCGATGGGTTCCTTGGGGCGATCTTTGGAGGAAGGTAACCCTTCGCTGTGTTGCTTTTGGGTTTTAAAGGGCAAGCCAGGGAAGTGGACTCCCTGAGAAACCTAACTAAGACCCAACACCTAACCACAAGAGCGACCGTTTGAGCCAATCCACTGACTGCACAAAACAGTTGGTTTCCTTGGGTAGGGAAAGCCTCTTGGTTTGTCAGGCTTGGTCTCCTTGGTTACCTACGACTCCGGGCAACTGGATCCACTGACCTCAAAAATAAAAAGACCCCAGGGGGTAGGCACAAGGAGGGTGGGTAGCTGAGAGGTTTAGGGTTCCCCAAAATTGCTTAAGGTTCCTGAGGGAAGCCCCCCTGGGAGCACCGAATCCCCAGGAAACATTTTCACTATGGAAGGACCGCTGATCTCCCAAGTGCTGGATGAGCCTCGGAGAGCCACAAGACAACCCAAGCACCCCACAAATATCGGCCCGGAGTGTTTTTCCCCTACCCAAAGGCTCCTGATTGGTATAGGGCCTTCAAACAACCTGGTTTTGAGACCCCCAACCACCTCCAGGTGTGTAATGGAGGGGTCGGGTCTTCCATTGAAAGTCCTAGAAGGCCAAATTGCCACTGAGATTGAAGGGCTCAGACATTTGCAGGCGCTTAATGTACCACGATGTATCCAAAGCGCATGGCGGGTTACACCAAAACCCAAGGATCACACCACAACTTCCCACGAACCCTCGCTGCTTGGACGCAAATGGCAAGTAGTTCCTTGCCATGAATGAACCCACAAGCCCAGAGACAGGTCGTGTCCTCAGATGGGGTGCCCGGAAACGTTCAGCTGATCTGAATTCTCTTTGAATAACCAGGCAAACTCAAGCTTTCAGTCTCAGCTTCAGACATTAAAACACACTTGCACGTGGCCATAGTTAGTAACCACCTAAGAGAGGAATTGCGTAGCATCCCCAATTTTGACACGTTCTGACACTTTTGCCATCTTCACAAGCAAGGCCAGTTGCAAGGTAGCTATCAGCACTTTGGGCTCTGGTCTGGTTCGGTTTGAGGGGTGGATACCGCCGCTGAAAGGTTGCCACTGTAACCAGCAATTTTCCAATTGGCTTTTGAAGGGTTCCCTTGATTAGCCACAATTTACTTAAAGGGCCGATCGGCGATCGGATACTTAGTAAGTGGTTTGTAAGCCTGGTGATAACCCACTTGGGAGACGCATAACCATCGGAAGTGAGCTATAACCAGGCTTTCTAACCACCTACTAAGTACCCGATCGCCCCTTTAAGGCCCCTTTAGGTCAATGGCATCGATGATGTCAGTCCGACTGAGGGAGTGAGCTTTTTCTAGGTGCTCGAGGGGCTGCATTCCTCCAAAATCGGCCCTTTGGTGACTCTGAAGCCCCGGGAAATCCCTTTGATTCGGATGCCTGTCCATTTGGAGAAGCACCCGGAACCCACTTCTATTTGGAAAAAAGGGTAGGACCCAGTCTAGGAACCCACAAAACGGATTTTGGATCTCCAAGAACCAATATGCAAAAGAGAAGCTTTTGCCTCCAAACAAAAACTACTTGAAATTGTTACTGGCCCTCGGTACTTTGCTGGTACCCTTGTTTTGCTGAGGTAACCATCACCTGGAAAAACCACATACCCTTTTGGATTGGCTTTTCTGGGATCTAGCTTCTCCCCCGGGTCTCCACATGCGAGCCGAAGATCCGACAAATCGCCTGGCCCCAGGTGAGCTCGGGGTAGGACCTGACGCATGGGAGATCTGAGGCGCGCGAAGGATAGGACTATCTCAGATGCCCAGTGGATTTCCATGCGAAAAAAGAGAGCATCCTTTTCTGCTTGGTTGACTTGAAAGGGGAACTCTTCCCCCAAAGAAAGGCACAACTGGGGCAACTGGATTCTGCTTCATATTTGGCCACCCCACACATATGAAAAGGCACGAAAGGCGACCCCAAATCAAAGCTACCCCGAAGTTGAAAAGCCAACAACCCCAGCTGACCTTAGCCCACGAAAAACAGTTAAACAAATCTTGTCAGCAGGGAATGAGGAATTCTCGGGAATTTGCACGCGGTCAGATCCACTCGCAGAGACCACGGGATTTCTCACCCATGGTCAGATCTTCCACCCACCCAACCTGCGGTGTCCTTTAAGGGAACCAGGCGGAACGGTCCTTCCTTCACGCACATATCTATTTCTATGACCCCCGTTGACTCATCGGACCTGGCTGCGGCTTTTTATTTGTTTACTTTTTCCTCGGGGCATCTCTGCCCGGACTCATGCCTCCTGCGCGTACGTGGCCAGGTGCCCCGCGCCTGGACAAGCAAACCCCCAAACTCAGAAAGCCGTCCTACCGATCGCTGCCATCCCGCAAGTCCCACTCACTTGCCTGGACTCTCAGTAGGGGTTCTACAAGAACAAACCAAATCATCCCGTCCACTTTGGGTTTCCATTGGGGAAATCTAAGAATTACCCCTCCGGCTAACAGAAGCCAAAGATGGGTCCGCCAAAAGGATGTGGCGGGTGTATAATGGTGCACATATATATATATATATACATTTTGACCAAGGATTTACAAGGTTCTGGTTGATTTCTTCCGAGGGGATTCCTTCCATTTTGCGTCCACGTTTCATCAATCCGTCGACCTTCGACCGGGGAAGCAGTTCTGGCATGCCTGGCGTGAAACTTTTTCCCGCGAGCCTTACGCAGGAAAAGCGTCCCGCGCGCCAGAGGGGCAGGGAACCTGGGCTTGCCGCGGTGCAAAAGTCTGCGAAAGAGAAATACCCTCTCACCAACTAACATGGAAGTGCAAAAAGGCCCTTTCCAAGAGGAAAGTAGTCTTTCTACAGGGGTCTGTGCACTTCCATGTTAGCTGGTGGGAGGGTAATCCCTCCACCACGTTCGGGTTCCTTTACGCACTGCATCGCATACCTTATCAATCCCCCTTCAGCAGCGTGGGGTCCCCCAATTCCCTTCTAGTCTTTCCAAAGCGCAAACGGGTTGCTATCGCAGGGGGCAAGCGACCACGCGCTACTTTGGGGGATCCGCTCGCACAGACTCGCTCGGACTCGCGGGCCGATTTTCCATTCCCGCTGATAGTTGGCGTGCTGCCCGGACTTCCGCGGGCTGTCCTTTTGCCCGATTTCGCTGGGACATCAGAAGAGGAAGCTGGACGTAGGCGGAACGCGAAACAGCAAAAACCACTTGGCTTCAACCGTCTTCCAGGCTAAGCCCCCTCGATGTGTTCCCCTGCCCCTTTTTTTCGGCACAAAAGGACGCTCCCCCGAGGATCGAAGCTTCGCGAAACCGAATCAGGAAGGCGTCCAGGTGAGGTTCTGGAAACTCTTGGCGTAGGCCGGGCGCGGGGGCGGCACACCGCGAGGCCTGAAAGGTATGTGGGGTTTCTTCTGGGATGCACATATTGGCGTGTCGTTTTTTGAGGGTACCCTGTGTTTGATGCGTTTTGTTTTGTTAACCAGGAACCAAAAAGCAACCATCAATTCGGGATAAACAAAAGACACACGTTGGCTTTCACAGTGATTCCGGCAACATAGAAAATATAGTACCGTCTGAACCCCAATGATGAACGTCCCATGTAAATGCCTGTTGCTCCACGCGGCTTCGAGCCAAATGTGCGTTATCCCTATGTCCAAACCTTGAATTTACCACCATACTCTGTTGCAACACGCGATGGTAATTGTTTTTTGGGTGGGGGGGTGTGGGGGTCGGCGCGTCGTATTTAAGTGAGAAAGCCGTCGAAGGGACTTTAAGTTTCAGCCGCGCCATGAATGACTCCAAGATCTCATGCAGTCGGATCACACCAATGGAATCTTGATCTGGACCAGCCATCACGTCCACCATGCCCCCCAAACAATATCAAGCAACCAGGACTCTCTTCCGAAAGTTTGCATTTCCGGTTTCGTTGCTAGGTCCGGGCCTCCACGGGGGGGCCCAGGCGCTGCCGCTACTTGCCCAAGGTTGCTTCATGGGCTCCGGCCCGGGCTCCAGGAACTTGGGCCCACCCGCCGCGGATGCGTCCTCAGGGGGTGGCGGGTAGATGGGGGCGGGGGGGAGGGCGGGGAAAAGGGAGAAGGGGCAGTGGGTCCGATGGTCATGGCTTGAGGCTCTTGCAACCAAAACTGGTCTAAGATCCCACCTGTTGACCTGGCGAAGGGGCAGTAGCTCACCAATCACTGGGGCTGTTCCTTTCGATTGACCACAACCTTTCATGAATGCCAAACCATGAATTAAATCATGTTTAAACATGCACTGTTTCAACAACCTCCTTTTGCCTAAAGCAATGCTCACTTCCAGGGTGGACTGGCCAAGAAAAGTCCAAACTCTTTCTTCGCCACTTGAATGGCCTTCCTAAAAAGCTTAAAGTCCAAATTTTCGGGGAGTGAGAACCCATTGCCTTCAAGTCCAAAAAACTTGGTTCGGGGAGTGAGCATAGCTCCAAGCTCAAACACGCATTGCCTTCGATGCCCTTCCCTTCTTCAGCTTCTTCCCTTCCCAGCGCCCCACCCGTCCTGGGTCACCCAACCTGAAACGGCGGAGCGGCGGACAACCGGTGCCAAGGGCAGCTTACGGGTACCCTCCCGATTCACCTGGCAGGGGGCTACCTTTAAAGGGAGAATGGTCCAGGACAGCCCTGGTTCCATGTGAATTGCTGGGGTTCATCAATATTCATCAATCCAAAGTCCTGGGAAGCAATTCCGGGCACCTAGAAACGGCCTTTCCGCGAAATCAGGCGTGCGACTGCTGACTCACTGCTGACTTCTGGCTCAGCCGGGGTGCCGATGGGTTTGGGGAAGAGCGGGGACGAGGGGTGCCGGATCTGAACCCGGATGATACCATTCTCCGTGGTAAAGGCGGGTGCCACCTGCTCCACGATCTCACCCTCCTGGCGTTTCGAGCGAGCAGCGGCCAGCCGGCCGCCAGCGAAGCAGCTCAGCTTGTTCGGGAGACCCAGGAAAAGCCACAGGGAACTGATAGAGATGAGGATGAAGACTCATTACTCTCCAAAACAAAATGCAACTTACCGGGTAGACTGACCGAGTGTCACTATTCAAACAAGATTGTTGCTAAACTATGTCTTGTTTTGTTTTGGCGGGGTCAAGATTGCAGAGACGCCCGAGTAGACTGGTCTGAAAAACATGGACTGTTTATTGACCACTAAACACATATTCCAAAAAGTTCAAACTCCAGGAACTCAGGGAGTGAGACAACCAACACAGAGTGCCGTTGTTGACCCCTCTGCAAAAAGTTCAACCGTGGCAAAACCCCTTGATTTCCCCAAAAGCTACAGTCTACGCAGTCTAAAGATCCAAGCCAATAGCAGTCAGGGGGTCAAGAGAGAGATACGCGGAGGCGCCTGCAGCTTCTGAACCTCCTCGCTGTCCAACTTCTCGCTCTTCCTCACCACCGTGTTGCCTCGCGCCACCCGCCACCTGAACCAACTGAACCGCTCGCGCAACCGGAGCAGCCCCTCCCCGGCCACCCCTTCCCCACCCCTTCTGGCCGTGTATGTCATCCGGTCAACAAAGACAGGGCCCTTTGGGACAAGGAAAGCTTGAGAGGGGACACAGCTGTGCAAAGCCGATGCTTTCCCAACTCAACACTGAAAGGTCTGTGAGGAATGCGCTCGTTTGCTCCCAATGTGAACTGCAACACTCCCCAAAATATGTGACTTGACACCTCTTCAGGGTCAGGCAGCGCCAAACTCAAAGCATGGACAATCCACCCAATGTGGGTGGCAGACTCTACCGGGTGAAGGGTATGGCAGCTGATGTTGGATCAACCCGAATTGTGCGATGCCCTGAGCGCAACAGCAAACAAACACTTCAACGGTGAAGCAATTCGGACCAGAATCCCACCTGTTCCCAGGGTGTGAAGCTTGATGGAAGACATTCACCCGTGAGTTCCAGCTTGTGATTGGCCAACTTTTTGGTGGTCCGATGCTTCTGCCTGAGATGTTTCACCGCGCGAGGTTTAAGCATCCAGTTCCCAAAAGAGGTGATGTTCGACACTGAAAAGGGACATTTGACATGCGAGCCTTGCAGACCCTTATCCAGGTCAAACCAAATACCCAGCAGGTCAAACAAGAAACAAACAGCCCCTTGAAGAATCTGGCCGGCCATGCCCCAAATGACCCCCAAATCTCCGAGGCGCTTCTTTGGCGCAAAGAAGACGGGCGCCGGCGCCGCGGCAGCTGGGGCGAACGATGGCATGGGGGCAGCAGGTCTGGCAGGATATCCGGGTGGCCTCAGAGCGGACAAAAACATCCAAAAACACTTTAAAGGAGCCTGAAAATGGGCGTGGCGCCCATCTATTCAGTGGATTTTGTTCCTAACTCTCTCTCTCTCTCTCTCTCTCTCTCTCTCTCTCTCTCTCTCTCTCTCTCTCTCTCTCTCTCTCTCTCTCTCTCTCTCAGGAACCTGGAGAGCAAGCAGCGAATGATCTAACGCAAACCATGCAATGGGGCTTACGGTTTGGCCTGCCAATCCTCATCCTTAGCGGTCCTTACTCCTCTAAGGGGAAGCCACGACTAGAATCCCGATCTTTGGCCCATCCTGACACTTCAGGTTGGCTTTCAGCCTGCGAAAATGTCTGCAAGAGGCAAAAGCTCGATCATGGGACCAGTCCTCAATTTGCTCTTTCAGCACTCAACGAGGCCATGTTCCCCCTTCCCCTCCCTCCCCTCCCCTCCCCTCCCCTCCCCTCCCTCCCCTCCCTCCCCTCCCTCCCCCTCCCTCCCCTCCCTCCCCTCCCTCCCCTCCCTCCCCCATGACTGGACTGCCACGCTAAAATGATACGGAAAGGTTCAGTGCGCGGAACAGTCAAGCACGAGTCGCATGTAGCCCGGAGGGGCCGCATAGGCCGCCTGGCCAGGTTGGCAGGGACAGTCCGCGAGGAAACCAAAAAAAACAACTCTCGGTTTGGTTTCCCTAAGGCCAAAGGGCTGAATGATTTTCATCGTCAAGGAAAGGAGCCGGCTCTAAATCCTTGCTCGGATCTGGAGTCCATTCACTTCTCGGGGATGCCCCTTTTGGAGTGGTTCTAAAGGACAGCCAAAAGGAAACCAGTTTCTTTTTGGGGGTGAGAAGGCTGGTGAGAACTGATTGAATTATCCGACACGTCTTTCTAGGGTCTACATCATTTTAGTTCCTGGTGGACCGGTATCTCACGTGCACAGGGTAAGTTTGAACCAAGCTGGATTTCTATTTAACACATACCCAGACTTTCCTTGAAGCCCACCTTGTCCTCCGGCTTCTCCCGCGGAGGGGCGCTGGCACCACCGGGCGGCCCGGCTTCAGCGCGGAAGGACCAGCGGGCCTCGTCCGCTCGGGGCTCCTGAAAGTCCACGTTGGGCCTCAGACGCAAGCCTTGCCATGACAGCGGGGTCTGCGAGAAAAAAACAAAAGGAAAACAACAACAGAATGATGCTTGTTTGGAATGATGCTTTGTTGGTTGAATCTGTGTGTATGTATGTCTGCGGAAAACGCGAAAGCAATTCAATAGCAGGGAGGAAAGACAGAAGGGAGCGTAATGTGGGGGAGGAGCGGACGAATAAGCAAACGAGCACGGTGGTGGCGGAGTGGTGGTGGCGGTGGTGGGGGTTGAAGGAATCCAAAATCCGAGCGGCTTCATTGCTACGATGTGGTTGGCTTTTAACTCAAATAGCTTGCTGAGCAAGCAAGAATTTCAGTTGTCAGGTGGTGAACATCATGACAACTCCCAATCTTGGGCAACCCTTCAAGTGGTCAGTTCCCTTTCACCGTCCAAAACAGCTCTCCGCTTACGCACAGCACGAGTCTTGGCCACGCCCCATCCTTTGCTTGCAGGCGGCGTCAGCTTGGCCTTGCGGCAGGGGCATGTCGCGATCATGTCTTCCTTTCGAGCTCTCTCTCACACCAGAAATTGGGTTGTTCCTGGGATTGACGTCTTGCAATGGGCCACCAGAAATTCATGTCAGACTCTGGTACGCTATAGTTGGCCCAACCTTAAATACTTAAACTTGTAAGGCCCCAAGAAGCCGACTTTCATGGCCCTCAAACTACAACATCATGAATGACCCCAGGGTGCATAGGCGGCCTTCCGGAAAATCGATGGCCCTGGTAAATGAAGCAAAATTCCCATCTTTACTCCAGTGGAACACATCTAAATCCAAAATTCCAACCAAACTAAGCGATCAAAAGGACACCTACGCCAAGGGGAAGCCCCGCCCAGCTCCCGCCTTTCGGTCCGTCAGCTTGGCCTTTCGCCTCTTCCGACTGCGACTCCTCGCCGGCGCCGCGGAAGCCGGCGCCGCGGACGCCGCGGCTGCGGCAGCCGCGGCCGCGGAGGCCGCGGCCGAGGACGCGGCGGGGGCGGCGCTCTTCTTCTCCTGCCGCAGTCAAATGCCCCGAAAAAATGGGCCCCAAACATCTGCCCAAGAAATGAAGAACAACTTTGGGATCCCGACGTTCTTCTTTTCTTGGGGGGAACAAGGGAAATCCGATCTGCCCAAACATGGCTGTGTCGTTAAAAACGGTTGGGTTGCATCATCAATTTCCACTTTTTGAGTCTTCCCCACAAAAGTGAGTTGGACTACAAACAGGGCCAACAGGCCCAACATATTTGTTGGTTGTCTCTGCATACAAGGCCGGCGCTCGCGCCGCCAAACAGAACGTGCACACGCCACAACGAAAAGCAACACACACACACACACATCCACTGCCTCAAGCAACATGCAAACCTAGCAATTGCCAGTAAGCAGTACCACTTGTGAAGGCAAAAGGCTGGCATGTTGCATCAAGAAATCCTGCTTTCGTTCAACCAAACTGTGCCAAAGTGCGTGCTGTGCGAAAATTCTCGTGAACGTTGCCTCATGCCGAATTGCCAGCACCACAACTTCGAAACGCATCAACGAGCTGGGTAGCAAGTGCGCATCCTGAGCTTGCATTGCCCACAAAGCCTGGCTCTTCTCACTAGCTCAAAGCGCTTTGCTCATTCTGGATAAACTATTCTTTACTCCTCCAAGAAACAAATCCAGCAACTCGAGAAAGATTGGCTTCCGGGGCTCAGGCACTGGGGTTTTGGTACCCATGCGTGGGCCCAAAAAAACGCAAAGTCCGAAGGGCACTTTGCTTTCCCTTACCTTTCATTCAAAGAAGGTGCATGTCACTGAACACAACGCCAAAAAAAGACAAGCCCGAGTTCAGCAAGTCCTTGGATCGCTCCTTCTTGGCTTTCTTCTCTCCCCCATCTTTCTCGCGCTTCCGCTTGCTGCCGCCCTCCACGATTTTCGCCAGCTTCTCACAGAGCCAGCTGGTGAAGGGCCCGCTCTTGTCTTGCAGGAAGGCCTGGCGCAACGCGTTCCCTCTGACAAATTTTGGCACCTCGTCCCTTCGTGTCAGCGGCAAGCAGTGCAAGCGAAACCGTTGCAAAAAACACTGATTTCAGCCTGGAATGACGCTAAGGTCTGGGGAAAAAAACCGCTGTTTACTGTCGCTATTAGCACTCGTCCCCAAGCGACTGCTTGCAACACATCCTGCAGGTCCATGTTCAGCGGTTTGTCTCGAAAAGAGAGGGTAGGGGCAAAATGGCAATGGTGTGCTGTTTCACTTGAAAAGTTCCGGAGGCTCCCCCCCCCCCCGAAAAAGGCAAAACACAAATCCAAACTGTCTCCCACAATCATGTCCACTAATTTATGTTTGCGCCGTCACACGCAAAGAAAAAATCACATGCACACATAAATGCGCATGACACATGGATGCACAACACAGAAGGATCAACACATGCAGTGGTGGCCCCAAATCTGTCTACCAGGCCCCCCCATTCGTCCGAAAGGCAACGATTTTCTTCTCGATTGGGCACCAACCCATGGACACCAATCCATGCCCAAGAACAGGCAGCAGAGGTTTGGAAAGGAGGGGTTGGCTCCCACATGCCAGGAGCCCTCCGGGCGGGAATGGTCAATGGAAAGGCACAATAACTAATTTAGTTGGCTAGAAGTAACGACAAATTTCCTCCATACTAGGGTTCGCCTTTTTGAGCTTTCAGCAATTGTTTTGAAAGGGGATACATGGAATTACGTAAGGGAAACGCGATTCGAGCCGTTGTGTCAGATTTGTCCCGGACAAATGCTTTACGACATTGAACATGCTTCACGAAATTCGCATTTTAGCCTGAACCAGTCTATTGTTTTGCTCGATCCAGAAAACCTCACAAACATTGTGCCCGAGCGTCCTGACATTCGTGTCCTACGTCCGTCCCTTGTTCTCAAGGTTGCAGTGAGCATCCGAATCTCCAAGTATAGGACGTTCATAATGCTTTTGGTTCAGGCCACTACTTGGCCATCACTTACCCAGGTTTCGCTTTTCCCCTCAAAGATATCCAGTAAATGGGTTTGCTTGTTTTGAGGGAACTGAGGGACCCCTCCCCCCCCAGAAAGAAAAAAGCGGTCTTCCTTTTGGTTTTCCTTGGAAGCCACCCAAAAAAGGGGTTCCAGAAAAAAGGAAACACAACAGGAACCACACCCAAAATGATGGTGGATTGATTCCGCAAGCCACGACATGCCCCCCCAGGCCTCCAGTTCGGCCTGGATGGTCTCAGGGGGTCGGCTGGACTGCAGCATCACGGAGATGTACTCCACCAACACGCCTAGGAAGCGCCGATCCGAATTTCGAGAGACGAGTGCTCCACTTGACCTTTTCTAGGGGAAAACTGGAACAACCAAGTGTGAACGACCGAGGGAAAAAACGCAAGGGGCGTTCTTTTAGGCAACTTGACCTTTTGTAGGTTTACCAGAAAAGCCATGTTAAATCTAAACCACGAGGTCTACGGGGCAATGAGTGGATGATATAGGACACATACACTGGGGTCATTTTTTATGACTTTCCCTTTGACTCACCTTTGACCCACCACTTAGGGGGTGACTTTGATAGTGGTGAAATAATGAGCCAAATATAGCACAAATACACTACCTCCAATGCCTTCAGCTTCCCACCCTCCACATATCACCGAAGTGAGAAGCCATCGAGCAATGGATTTTTCAGGGCCGTTGAAGAACTGGGAAGATCTCAGAGTCTCAAGTGTCTGAACACATCTCGCCCCGTTTGCTTGAATCAGAAAATCAACGCCGGCTTTCCGTTCAAGAACCTAGACATCACCTGAAGGCCTGGTAGCTTCCATTACGCCCAAAGGTAGCACCAAGCCAAAAGAGGATTTAATCCAGTACTGTTCCCTGGGTTTGACGCAAGAAGCAGAAGGAACGCCAAGGAATTATGTTTGGAGAAACCCTGAAAAGCCCTCCCTCAATTGCCTCCTTGGTCTTGGTTGAAATTAAGGCTCCAGACTTTCATCTGCCCCAAGCTTCTCGCCTTGAAGGGGCCAGTTTAAATTCCGGGATGTCCTCAGACATCCCCCCGGAAAAATAAAAATAAAAATAAAATAAAAAATCGTGCGTTAAATGGAATGCCCACACTTGCTAAAAGGTAAGGGGATGGCTGGGAGCCAAGAAAACAAAAAGGGCTTGGGTTAAACGAAAATGCCCCACTCAACAGCTAAAAGGCTAAGGGGATGGCTGGGAGCCACCAACGAAAAAGGGCGTGCACCATGTTGACATTCGCGGCGCTGAGCTCCCCATAGCCCCCGATGATGCCCTGCAACTTCTCCGTCACCGCCTTGGAGAGGCTGGCCTGGCGGACAACTTGTTTCTCAAAGCGAAAACAAAAAAAACACAGAAAAAGGCAAAACAAATAGAAAACAAATAGAAACAAAGAAACAACAAAACGTGTTTTTCTTGAAACAAAAGAAAAACAAGACACAAACAAACAGTTTTGTGGGTTGCCTTGGTCCTCCAGTGGAGAGGTTAGAATAAGCGTACCCGATGTTTGTTTTCTGTAGTCTATTTTAGTAAGGGAACCCTCCCCAAAAGAAGTTGGTAAAAGGGCACTACTGGGGGACCTAGTTGCATGTTGGTGAAGGCGTGCAGGTCCCATGTCCCATAATATTGTTTGAACATCCCTAGCCATTTCTTGCTGACCCTTCCACGAACAGTTGTTCACCTTTTTGTGGGTCCATACGAAAAACACCCACCTGTTTCAAGCAAGCAGCTAAAGTCCGAAGATCCGTTACCTAAGGGCCACAAAGACAATACGCCCAAGGAAAACCAGATGAACCTGCGGTTTGTCCAGGCAAATCGCTATAAAGGCTACCACAAGCAAGGCAAGCCCATGGTATCTGACATGGGCCTCTGCCAGCACTCCCATTCAAGCCGGGACCCAAACTCATGAAAGGCGCTCTCCGTATTCCTCGTGTAACCCTTCAGCAGGGTGGGTGTGAAGTTCTACTGGTAGCAATTCCTGTAGCTGGTTTCGTAAATCCTCGTGTTGGGTAAATGAGGAACAACAAAAAGGTGAATACCAGGTGATTTAAAGCTTAGGCTTTAGGTTTGGGGCTTACTCTTTTGGCTTTGGGTTCCATATGTTTAGGGCTTGGCTTTGGAGGTTTCAGGATGCTAGGGTTTAGGGCTAGGATTTTGAGGGCTCAGGTATGTGCTTTTGGCTTTAGCTATCGGGTGTTTGACCAATATTTTGGTTTAGAGTTAGAGATGTTAGAGCTTATGCTTAGGGTTGCTCTGTTTTCTTGTGGTTCAGGGCTAGCGTATGTAGGGCTTAGGTTTGCGCGTTTTGGGGGTTAGGTCTAGGGGGGTCGAGCTTTAGGGTTTTCGGGTTTAGGTCTCGGGTGTTCAGGGCTTCGGCTTCGTGTTTCTAGGGTTTAGGGCGGAGTGAAACGCCCCAAAAAGGCACAATTCCCGCAGGCGCAGCTTCCACCAAGGGTTCGCTTTCCGTAGCGTGGTGCAAGTTGGGCCAGCGGGACCCAGAGCTTAGCCCTCGGAAGCCCCAACACATTGGCCCTGCGCAGTCTGCACATGCAGCTCACGTGGGGGCAGATCACATGGATTGGCCGTTCCTACGGACGTACGTATTGCATGTGAAGAAGGTGCCCTGAATTCACACACACACACACCTGGGGGTCAAGGCAAAAAGGGGGCCTGAACAAGGCCCGTTGGTGCTGCTTGCTTTGGGTTCTTACCCCGGTAGTGCTATCATAGTTGCCCTACCGGACCCTACCCGGGTGAAATGAAGGAAACCCCCAAACAGATGCCAAAAGGAAAGTGAGTAGGAACCTCGTATCAGTCTGACAACAAATATGCTGGCCCAATACCCCATCCCCAATAAGTTACGACTCCGATAGCCTGTTTTCAGGGGTGTTGCTCTCCAGGTTGACATGGATCCCCAGATCTGATTTTTAGAGGAACCTCCTTTTGGCTGCCATGTTTGCAGGGGAACATGTTTCTGTCCATAAAGAACCCCCCCGCCCCCCCGGTACCTCACCCTCCGGCAAAACATGCTGGCCTGTTGCTCAGCGCTCAGCTTCTCGTAGAGCTGAGCTAACTTGGGCGCTGGAGCCTCCTTGCCCATCCCGCTCAAGATTTCATCAGCTTTCCCGGGCGGATGGATGCGCGATCCAACGCGAATTCGAGGGGTCCCTATTGAACTGGACTTGGAGATCTTCATGGGGACCTGGGTCTCTGCCTACTTGGAACGGTTGAGCCGTAGACACCTCTGCCGCATATGAAACCAAGGTGTTGTCATCCAGTCCTGTTGTGCTGGCCGATGGCGCCATGACTTTGCCTGCTTGGCATGTGCCTCGTGCTTGCGTTCTGCGAGCCGCTGCATTTCCAAAGCCAAGCTCTGCTTCAAGCAGTCCACAAGGCACCCATCTTCCAGTCCAAGGGCATAGTGTGATCAGTAGGGGTCCCCCAAAATAAAGACGCGCCCATGCTTCGTTGGATGTCAAGCACATCGAAGCCCAAGTTTGAGTAGGAGAAACGACGATAAACAAATGGAACAAGCTCAGATGACCCACTTCTCGGTGAGAACTTGTTGAAACCCAATGGAGTTTCATGCCCGAGGGCCCGTCTTGTGGCCATGCCCATTGGGACTATCCCCAAGACTCCCCAGGTATCAGCCACCTCTCGGCTCCCGGCCGCAAGCCAGGCGTCGGGCCTCCACAGTCAAATGCCATCCAGAGATCTCATGGGAAAAATGGGCACCTTGCTGGTCGAGAGGAAGCAAACGCTTCCCCAAATGGGTGGAGCACATGGAACAAACGTACCCAGAGTCTTCCGGTTCCCAAGGGCGTGCTTGTAGCGAAGAAACGTCCGGACCTGTCTCGAACATCTCCGTCACGAGCACTGGAGAGAGGGCCATGGCGACTGCCAAGTGGCGAATACGCAGTAGAAGCCGCAGCCAAGTGAACATTATATGACAAATGAGCCATCCGCCCAAATGCAAGTCAGAAAGCCAAGCAAACCGCGAGACTTGGCAAACTCCCGTGAAAAAAGGACAAAACTGTTTTGCAAGATGTCCCAATAGCTCTCGTGCGTGCACATATGGATGGGTTGGATGAAGCATGCAGCCTGCGGCTCCTGCGTCTTTGGAGGCGGCAAGAGATGTGCAATAAGCCACGGGACCAACGTGGGCCTTGGATTCCTTTTGGGTTCCCATTAAAAGCTCGAAGTACGAACTCTGAAGGAGTCTGCTTCAGAGCCGGACCTTCACGCAAAGCTGGGGATGATCTTGCTCACTGGCCCCAATTCCTCTGAGGCATGCAACCCGCTCGCACTGCGTTGGCAAGCATCTCCCTTTGGCGCGCCAAGTCTTGCATTTTACCCGGTATAATTGGACATGACCCAACATAGTCCGACATAACAAGGGCGTATATACCCTCCCACCAACTAACATGGAAGTGCACACAGCCCCTTTCCAAGCTAGTGCACTTCCATGTTGGTGGGAGGGTAACATCAACGCAGCTTTGCAGGCGCACCTGCGGGGGTAAGCCGCAACATCAAAGTGCCAGGCCCTCCAGGCCATTCTGCTTGAGGCAATGGAGATCAGCTCGATCATTTGAGTGGATTGGTCAGAAAGAGTCCAAGCGCTCGGTCCGCCGCATCGACCTTAAACACTTAAAGTCCACTCTCCTATGGGAAATGGGAAATAAAGAAACGTCGATGGGCACAGGGTCCAAGTCCACGTACCTTCTGAGGAGCTACTTTGCAAAACCATCCGTGTGGGTGCGGCCTCACTTCTTTTCTCCGGCAATTGCCTCTCCACACACGCCCAAGCTGGAAACTTGCTGCGATGCTCTCCATGCTGCTGCCCAAACTCAAGATCATGGAAACCAGGCTTGAACCCTCACTCTTGTGAACACCGGACTCAAGGGTTGCTGCAAAGTTTGCTTAAATCAGATCCTGGCGCCCCTAAGACAAAACAAAAGGAAGTTGTGTAGCGACTAGTTGCTGACCACCAGTCGGACTGACATGAAGCTGACTGCTGTGTCTCTTGCTGGCAAAATCCATCACTCCAGCTCCTCCTTGACTGCGGCTGCCTTCAATGCAGCACCTCGCTCGGGGAGGGTGAGCTCAAGGTGCCCCCATGGCCTATGCTCCATGGCTATGTGTTTGGTCGGTTTGGGTCTTTTGCGGGGGCCTGTTTTCCGTTTTGGGGTGTTTGTTTGTTGTGTTCTCCAACTTGCCCCCTAAGTGAGGCTTTCAGAGACTTTCACTGAGATCATCCTCAATGCCATGCTTTCCCCCCGGTCACTGGCTAAGTGTTGCGCCCATCAAGGGATCCTCCTCCTCCTCCGTGTCGTCGTCGTCATCCTCTGCCTCAAAGCGCTGTCAAGCTGAGAGCCAGCGATTCAAGAGCGTTGCATCTGTAGGATGGGCCGCAAACACCTCCTTGCAAAACCGGGGCAAGGTGTTTCATGGCCTGCCACACGCCCTTGACACATTTGGCATGTCGCATTCTTCGCCGCCTTGGCTATTTTTTAGATCCATCTTCTGGCGGTAGAGGCAAATGCATCACCAACATGAGTATGTAAGGCAGTGAATACCAGTTGTTTCTGATGCATGCCCTCCATCTCCGTGCTCGGTTTTGACGCTGAATGGGTCCCCTCCAGGGTTGAGCGGACCTCTTGGTAGACAAATTGCGGCTGAAGCAGCCTCCTTTTGCTTTTCCCTTTCACGGCAGCCGCAAAAAAGAGCCTCGCTGAACCAAACTTTGCAACGGAGGGGTTAAGGGAGGGTCTTGGATCCCACATGCAACTTGTCCAATTCCAAAACTCGGAGCATAGGGGTTTGGATAAGATTCTTGTGGATCCACCACTGTAGGATATTAAAAGCGTACTAAAAGAGTACTAACAAAAAACAAAAAACAGGGGGCACACGTGAAATCCACAAATCGCATCCCAACCGGGACCTCGTGAAGGACTTACATGGGGCTTCGCTGGCTTAACCTGCGAGTCAGTGAGCTCGGTTGGTCGCATCCGCTGCCTTCACTGGCGGCTCCGTCTTCACTGGTTCCAGCTCTGCCTGCACAGAAACTTTCCGTCCCATTTCTCGGGCGCTTTCTCGGTTGCTTTCTCGGTTGCTTTCTCGGTTGCTTTCTGCTCCCCTGCTACAAGTTTAACTTTTAGTGGTTTAATGGAAAACCCCTTAGTTGGCAAAAAGTTAGTCCTAACATTTCACGCCTCATTATTTTACCTTGCTCAAAGTTACCCCCTAAGTGGTGGGTTAAATTAAAGGGAAACAACCCCGTTTTCTGACTTTGACAACCCCCGGAAACCGTCAAAATCATGACCCCAGTATTTCATGATCCCAGGGTCACAATGCAGGATGCGATAGGGTTCAGGAAATGATGAGAAAGTCACATCTCCCTGAACTCGGTTGGCCTTGGACCCCTTGCAAAAGGTAAAGCCGTTTGCTTGGGGCAATTCCTTCTCCAAAAGGTCAAAGGGTTAAAGGTGGTAGAAAAGAGAATCTATTGTATCCTCCCTCCTACTAACATAGCAACTGCGCGAGGGTACCTGGAAGATCCTTTTCCTCTTAAAGGGGCCAAGTCCCGGTCAGGTGCCATGTTATGGAAAGCTTGCTTCTCACTTGCCCACACGACCCAGAAAACAAAGGCTAACCCTTTTCAGGCCACTCACAGTGTGCCAAACAGGGGAAACAAAGTCAAAAGGCCGACTCACCGTAGAGTGAGACCAAAGAAGAGCTACCCGGTCTTTTTCCGAAGTCACCCCTAAAGTGGTAGGTATACTGGAAAGCAGTCCCTGGTTGCACCAGAAACAGCGAAAGTCAACACCCTCGATGTCCTTTTGGTATCTTTTAGATGGGTTTCCCTGGCAAATGGATACCAATCTAAACCAGTGGAACCCCTGTCTATTTCTCTCCAAAGGCCACCAGTTGCTGACTTTGACGTCCAGAAACAGCCAAAGTCATGACCCTCTCTCTCAGGCAATCCATTTGCGGTTTTGCCCCCTGCAACAACAAAAGCATATGTCCACTAGTGAAATCGATTCCCTTTGCAACCAACAAGGGAAACATAACAAGTATTCACTTCAGCAAATGGAGTAATTCAAGCAACGAAAGTCATTGGGACTTATGACTTATGTATTTCTATCCAAACCAACCTAAGGGCACCTACGGTCATGCCCCTCTCTCTCAATGCAAAGCCCCTCTGCCTTGGTCCTCTCCGTCTTCACCGGCTCCACCTTCACGGGCGCGGAGGCGGCCGCAATCAGGGCGTCCAGCGCGTTGGTGTCCTTGGGTCACAGTCCCCGCAGTCGCTTGGGGCGGTTTTTTTTTGGGGGGTATTGACGGGTGGCCCTCTGGGTTTCTCGGGATTCCGTGCGAAAAACATCCGAAGGGAAAGAAGGAACACAACGAAAAAGAGCAACAACTGCCAAACAAATGGTGTTGCTTTTTGTTTGTTCCCTGCGTTTCCTTGAAACAACTGGGTCCACGAGTGTGTGGCATCGTCAAACTTGGTGGCTTCAGGGGGCACAACCCCAAAAAAAGGTTGCGGAGTATTTCATTATGTTCACTCTAACGGAGGGCGGAATCTTGCCCGTGCCCAGCCGGGATTAGGCGTGTCGGCAGGCGCAATGACTGCCATCTTTGCCAGTTGGCACTGAGAAGGCATCAAGTGCCTCGCATAGCCCGAGAAGGAACCGCAAGCACGGTAACAGGCAGCAAAAGGAAGCAGGCAAGAACCATCCCAGAAGGACATCAGTATACACTCCCGGCTAGCACAGAAAAACCCATCATTTCTGGAGGGTTTTCCTTTTGGCCACTCCAAAAGTGGGCCGGGCTTGGCGACTTGCGGCGTGGGATTCAAACGTTTGGGGTCTGCAGAATCAACTCACTGGTTAGGGCCAAGAGGTTGGAGTCCAGTGTCGCCGCAGGGAACTCCAAGCTCCAAACTCCAGACATTCGGAAAAATTTGGAAGGGCTGGAAGATCAATTTCATCTTGTCTCGGCCGATTGCCCCGTGTCAGACTGTCAGGTGATTGGGTGTGATTGGGGGAGAAAGGGTGCTGCCGAAGAAGTTGCCGAGTTTCATCTTCATCTTCTTGCTTTTCCATCTTCACCTAAGGCTGAAGATGCATCGACGCCGGCGTTCAGCGAGCACGGACGACCACACCGCTCGGGGGTGTCCCTGTTTCAGCGGGTGGACAAATGAATTCGTGTTTGGGGGATCTCTCAGTCTCATAGGTGCTCCTCATCAATTCCAAAGTTAACTTTACAAGAGGATTCAATAGGCTCCCACCACTGCAATGGGGCATGTTAACCTCAGGCGAATGGGTGCTATTCACCATGGAACGTCTGTGACTGTCACAAAGCAGGCTGGGACTCAAACTCGCCGTTGGTCTCCCCTTAAACCTGCCCCTTTCTTGGGGTACAATCAAGAAAGAAGACACCAATACTTGGTTTGTCTCAAACTAGGTGAGCTAGCCATGGATACCCAGAACCAAAACGGGAAACTTTTAGAGAGCCCAGTTAATGTTGACCCCATGTTAATCAACCCCTGTTTGTTAATATGGGGGTGCTCCCCTCCAAATGTGATGAACCCCACTAAGCCCAGGGACGTCCGCAACTTGTCTTCCTTCGGACCTCTTATCAAAGCCGAAGGCTTTTGGGGCTGCCATTTTTTGGGCATGGTGTACTGGGTGTCCAAAACCCTGTAATTGTCCAGTGTTTTTTGGTGCTAAAAACCTGCGTTTCGCCAAGGTCTCCAGGGGGGGGGGTCCCCCGGACGCGCAGGATCTGCATCCCCAGCATCATCAGGGTTACCTTGCTGCTATGAAGTTCTCTTTTTTTGATACTAATGGTGTTTTGCTGTTTCAAGCGATGTTGGAATCCGCCTGT